AAAGTTTTAGGGTCTTGTATTAGTAGGGCTTAGATAATTGGGTCTTTACTTTCTTCAAATTTTTATGGCTTAGGGTAGCATATCTTTGCCGTTGAGAGAGGGATGAAAAGCCTAAACCAGAGCAAAGAAAGAGTGAAAAACCTCAAATAAGCCTAAAAAGTTGAGGAGCTTAAGAAGGGTTTTTTGCCTTTCCAATAATATGGGAAGTTGTAAATGACGTGGACTACTCACCTCTCTTGTTCGAGAACGATCTGAAATCGAAGCCATCGCTGGGGTTGAATAGGGAATTTCCGAAGATTCATATACTAAACCGAGAATGTTGCAATTTCTTCCTTCACGGTTGTCTTTGCCGCTATACCCTCCACATTTCCACGTTCTTCCTCCAACCTCCGTGCTGCTTCCAAACAGAAGAACATTCGCCTCTATGTCCTCGGCTTCTTCTTCACCGTCACCAGGTCCATCTGTGACGAACCCCACCAAACAGGAAAAAGGTCGAGACGAGCAGCAGGAGATGGCCCAAGTGCTCAAATATCATAACCAAACCAAACACTCTTTCACCAACTACGCAAAGGGACCTCACGGCCTTGACTGGGCCAATCAACCGAACCCATTTCGCCGGTACGTCTCTGCATCTCTTATACCTCTCCTGCACTTCCCCATCGAGAAGGAAGGTCCGTCGCCTGCGGCGGCGAGAACAGTAGACGCTCCTTTGTACTTTTCCCTATTTCTCTCTCTTCCTCCTCCTAAACCCATTTCACACTCCACCATATCTCAATTCTTTTATGATTCTCTCGCTCTCTCGGCCTGGAAAAGCACCGGATTCTCCACTTGGTCACTTCGGGTCAACCCCAGCAGCGGCAATTTGCATCCAACTGAGGCTTATCTTATTGCTCCACCGATCGAATCGCTCTCTAACTCGCCGTTTGTTGCCCACTATGCTCCTAAAGAGCATTCTCTCGAGCTTAGAGCGGCGATCCCATCTGGGTTTTTCCCTCAATTTTTTCCGGACAATTCATTTCTTATTGGATTTTCTTCGATTTTCTGGCGAGAGGCATGGAAATATGGAGAACGTGCGTTTCGATATTGCAATCATGATGTAGGCCATGCGATTGGTGCTGTTACAATGGCTGCAGCAGGACTTGGCTGGGACGTGAAACTTCTTGATGGTTTAGGTTACAAGGATGTGCAGAAGCTAATGGGGCTGGAGATTTTCCCAGAATTTCAAATTCCCTCCAAACCTGTTAAGGGGAAGATTCCAGAGATTGAATTCGAGCATCCTGATTGCCTGCTTCTTGTTTTTCCTAATGGGGTTAGTAAATTTGATTTGAATTATAAGCAATTGAGTTCTGCAATTAAGGAATTTTCGAGTTTGGAGTGGAAAGGGAAGCCTAATTTGCTTAGCAAAGAGCATGTATGTTGGGACATAATTTATAGAACAGCTGAGGCAGTGAAAAAGCCATTGACAGTTCAAAATGGATTTTCTATTGATCCATTCCACAGCTGTGGGGTATGTAGTGAAGACTCTTATAAAGAATTTTCAGTGAGAGAAATTGTTAGGAAGCGTAGGAGTGCTGTTGACATGGATGGAGTTACCATAATGGAGAGAGAAACATTTTATCAGATTTTGTTGCATTGCCTTCCTTCAGGTTCTTCCCAGAACGGAGGGAAGCAGAGGAGGCAACTAGCACTGCCTTTTCGAGTTCTTTCTTGGGATGCTGAGGTGCATGCTGCCTTGTTTGTTCACAGGGTAGAGGGTTTGCCAAAGGGATTATATTTCTTGGTGAGGAATGAGGATCATTTTCAGGAGCTCAAAATGGCCACAAGATCTGATTTTAAATGGGAGAAACCACTGGGATGCCCTGATGATCTACCTCTATATGAACTTGCAAGAGGCAACTATCAGCAGCTTGCCAAAAGGCTTTCATGTCATCAGGTGCTTGTCTTTTCTTTACGACTATGTCATTTTGAGATTCTTATATGTTGATAAAACTGAAAGGAAAGTACACGCTTTAATAGAGAGATCTTTTAAAACAATATTCCTAGATCATTGATTGATGTTAGAATATGTTTGGAAATACTTAACTAACTACAAATCTTAACAGAACAAAAGATGGTAATTCTTTATTTCCTAGTGAATTAGTATCTTATTTTTGTCAAAAGGAGTCTGATTGATGAGTGAAAGTGAACTGTGAAACCTGCCAAGGATGGTTTTTAAAACCGTGCTAAACTGCTGAACTTAAATGCAGGAAATAGCCAGTGATGGGTGCTTTAGCCTTGGCATGGTAGCTCATTTTGAGCCTACCTTGCATAACAGGAGTGCCTGGATGTATCCTCGATTATTTTGGGAGACTGGAGTTCTCGGCCAGGTTTTGTACCTTGAAGCACATGCAGTTGGCATCTCTGCAACTGGAATTGGTTGCTATTTTGATGATCCTGGTAAATTGCTCGTCCTCTGTTGTTCTTAGTCTTTCAAATTCACTAGTGATGAAATACAGTATCCCATTCTTTTAGAGAATGTTTATACTTTATATTGAAACACACGTTAAAATGCAATGCATCTCAAGGAAAACAGTTGAACTCTTTAGATTGGAAGTCTTAAGATAAAGTCTTAGGCAAGCATACTTCCACACTTGAGGAAATATTCTATGAAAAACTAAATTTGTAAGAGGTCTATGTCTATATTGTAAAGGTGCTGAGGAACAAATAACGTGTAAAAAAGAATTGCTTGAAAATCTTAAATCCCCATCTCCTCACTCTCCTGTCACTCCTCGTACCCAGCCCCACCTATCGCCGCAAGGCAGGATCTTCTGTTGTGATGTTTATTGAACATTTCATGGAATGAATGACATTAAGGTTTTTGTTATGTGTTCTGCAGTACATGAAATTCTCGGGCTGAGGGGATCAAACTTTCAGAGTCTATATCATTTCACTGTAGGTGGTCCAGTTTTGGACAAGCGGATTATGAGCCTGCCAGCATACCCTGGTCCTGGCGTGGATGCATGATTGCAGATTGCAGGTTATATATATACTCAAGAAGTCAAGGTAACATGGTGAAGTTTCTGCAGACCACAGCCGCAGGTCACTGTTTGGAAACATTGATGGATGCAAACATTAAAAAAAAATGCCCGTGAAAACAGTACCCCAAAAAAATGCCTGTGAAACAGTATATAGTTTGGACTCAATCATGTCTTTTTTTTTTTTAGATCGGCACTCAATAATTCATATATGTTATGAATTTACAGATAGCTGCCCCCTGTAAATTTTGTCATCATCTAATCACGTATTAATATAGTATTAATTTTACCAAAGGATTTTGTTGCGTTCTTCTTATGATGCAAATTATAATTCAATATGTGAGGTTTTCATTTTTTAGTTAGTATTTGATAACTGTATCAGAAAATGAGATCATTTTATTGTTTCTCGGAATCCTGGATAACTGAAAGTTATGGCCATTAGCAGCAGGATCCTATTTGCATATCCAAAAAGAAGAAAATCCGTTTCTGATTTCCTGTACAGGATTTGAAGCTCACAATTAGCAACAAAGAGAAAAGAAATTTGTCTCTCCATTAACCTTCCACCTATGGGACATACCATTTATGATAATAAAACAGTCAAATATGAGTTTGATTCTTAAAAAATAATAACAATAATAACAAATAAATAAATAAATTCACTACTCCAACAGGGTACTAAACAAATAGAACTTACCTTCAGAAGTTGAAGCACGAATAATTCAGAAGTTGAAGTACGAATCATCTCTCCAACCAGACTCAAAATGATGTTGGTGCCCCCCTATACTATCAGAATTTCAGGAATGGAAATTCTGATGCTTGCTGAGCAGAATTGTTCCATCTTTACAGGGAGGGGAAATTCATCATAAAAACAAACACTAACCCTCCAGTGCCAAATACCTGTGTATCACAGGAGTAGTTTTTATCTTTGCTTCACCACTTCACTGTAGACAAGGCCATCATTTACCATGAAGAGCTTGGATCCACGCCAAATCATGCTAATCACTTCATGACATCGGATGGGAAATAAAATAGTAGAGGATGTAGAAAGGAGTTGCATGCTAAAAGAATGTTGGGAAGATATCTATTTCAAAATCGAAGAGGTTACTTAATCCCACAAAGTTATCCATTTCATACTTGAATGAATCCAAGAAGAGCCCAAGAGTAAGCCCAGCCTTCCAATAATTAAACATAGTAATCAGATTCCTAACCTTGCTGACTACACGAAGAGAATCCTTATACATGAGGGCCCCTATCCCCTCCACAATGACCACAGCCAAGGCAGCAGATAGAATGTCCCAGTCACCAGTCTGCCCAATGACAGTAGCCAATGCAGTGGCACAATAAAATCCTACCAAGAAAAACAGCAACTTCATTGGAAGATTTTTCCTTAGCTCCTGAATTCTTGAACCTACTTTACTTTGAATTTCTTGGATGGTTCTAATTAATCTTGTCTTGCCATTGTTTGGGAAGATTGATCCAATGGACTGCCATTTACACTGCTCCTAATAGCCCAGGCCATCCTCCTGCAGAATTCAAACACAAACTCAATCCAAAACATAGTTTTGATTCTTCTTCTGACTTTTCTAATATGCATTCTTTACATGGTTTCTGAAACAAATTATGTTCCATGCATCCCTAATTAAAGCATGCAAAATGAGTTGCACATATGGAAAAACTATACATAAAGTAATTGCTTCCATGTTCAAGAAAGTCATTCCTTATTACAAAAAAAAAAAGAAAAAAAAAAGAATGCCATTCATTCCCAATCATGCTTCTGGAAACTTTTTTAGTATATGTTTGAGATTTATAATAGGTAACTAACAAAAGTTGCATTGCAATACTTCAATAAATGAATGCATAAACTGCAGAAAAATCCCACTTGAAAATTACCGAGTAAGGAATATGACTGATAATAATATATATTGTAATTAATTTACCACATCTGTCATGAATTGGAAAAAGCACTCCTGGCAATACCAAGTTGCTTTGATAGGCATCAAATTTAAACATCCATTGTCACAGTCACCTACCTAAGATTATTGACAGAAGAAGGTTGGGCTACATGACTGAAACAGGGTTTTTCAGGCCGAACGCACAAACTTTTCTGTGAAAACACACTTGAGGGCCCAGAGCCGCAACTCTTGATTTGACATTTTCAGAAAATGTAAACTTAGCATTCCTTGGGCACTTGTACAGTGTCATTGTAGTAGCCATTGCCAAAAGGAATTCCTGCAAGTAAAAAACAACTCCCCATTGTAAATTGTAAATCAAGCAGCAGAAAAAGAGAAACAATAAGATATCAAGCTTAATGGAAACTAACATAGTCACAAAAAATTCAAGCTTCCTCCTTTTTTTGTCTAGAATAAACAATTAACTCTTCCTCTAACACCACCAATCATTACATAGGCTAGTACTCAGCGTTCGGTTAACTGCTGATAAAATAAAAAAAGGAGGGGAAACTCAGCTTTTGGTTAACATATCATTCATAACATCTTAAACTAAAAACCTGATTAAGACTAATACCTCACGTTTGCACCTGATTTTTCGGATCAAGTGGCTTTCGATTTACTTTAGAGGTGCATTTCCCTCCTTATTATGGTGGGTTCGAACCCACCCTTGTCTACTTGTTCAAAAAAAAAAAAAAAGACTAATAACTCACATCTAACATTAAATACTTTAGTGGTCACTCTTTTGATAGAAAGTGTTAGGATGAGAAGTGTTGGATTCAATATCTAAGGCAATCTCCATCTCCAAAAATTTTCGTAAGAAAAACAAAAAAAAAAAAAACCAACAGCCCACAATAGTACGACACAGATTATTAAGATATCAACCAATATATAGAGATTTAATAGGATATATCCTAGCCTTTATTTTCTATTTTTCTTTACTAGCAGCTACCTCTTAGCCTCTTAATCAACAGTTAAAACCAAGAAAAATCAGAACTTCGATACTAAAAATCTAACAAATTTTAATTATTTGTCTTTGAGGGATCTACCTCTTAAGATTTCCTTGGATTCAATATATAAGTAAACGGAATTCTCAAACCCCATTATATGCAAGGTGGAACAAAGAAAAAGGAAAAGAATTCACGTAGGAAATGCCGAAATGAAGAAAATCTCACCATACACAGGAGGGATTTAATTTTAACCGTTACTTTGTGATAAAGAGTCAAGAAATTTGCAGCAGCTTCGTTGGGAGACCCACCCACCATTCTGGTGCGCCACAGCTAGTCTAATCTGGTGCGCTGCAGCTAGTCGAGTCCGGAATAGTCGGGTGAAACCCCGGATACAGGACTGTAAACCAAAAAAAAGAATCAAGAAATTTTTGTACCTTGTGGTTTGCCTTCGTCCAACTTTATCTTCTGGATTTGGAGGATTTCCTTTGCGTTCCTCCCAAGCACAGAATGGCAGAAACCGGTGACAAACTAGCGATCGAGTGAGAGAGCAAAGCGAATGGCACGCGGGCAGCAGGTGTATAATCCATTCAGTAATAAGTCTTAATGGTAATGAGTCTAATGAGAGGGTGGATGAATATTTGGGACTAAAAATTGATTATTATTATTATTATTATTTTTATCTTGATTGCATAATGAGAAATAACTATTTATCATCCCTTATTTCATTTACTCATTTGTTATACAATCTCTTACTTTCAATGAAAAAAAATGATTACTGAAATATTTAGATTGTTAGTAAAAATTATCTATTATTAATAATGTGTTATAAAGAATATTATTAAATTAATTGATATGTATCAT